GGGATAAAAACCTTCTAACATTGCCAGGAACTTTCAGATGCACATTAAAGAAAACAATGTAATGAAGTTAAGCAGCTGGGGTACAGAATAGTATTTAACTTTCAAGACCACCCAAAGCTGCACTATCATATCAAAGTTGACCAATGTAATAAAAAGGGAAAAAAAACAACAACAAAAAACAACCATGCGAAAGGACAGACATTTGCTTGATCTGCTGCTGGCTTAGGGCCAAACATTTAATTTGCTTCTTCAAAAGCATGGATCGTTAAAAGGGTGATTCTGGGAAGTTCAAGCCACTAGCCTAAAGCCCACTGACAGTGTGTACACCAGCTTCATCTTGCCCAGTAAAAGCTTATCCAACAGAAGCCAAGATAACATCTACAGGTGTTCCCTCTTTGCTTCTGACCGTCACCTGCATGGTCACGCCATCTGCTAAGGCCAGCCTGGACCTCACCAATAAATCATAGCCACCTCTGAACACACCTGAGAGAAAACAGTGAGGAAAGCCCGATTAAGAAGCAAGACATCCTCTGAACAGTGATCTCTATCTGCCTGCACCTCCCTCCTGTTAGCTTTTAGGTTAGCTTTTCTAGAGATGTGTGCCTATGGTGGGAATGGAATCCCACACGTTCTCAATCATCCCTTCTATTCTCATGATACCAGGTGCATAGAAGGTAATTCAGTACTCGAGTAATGGAGTACTCGAGGGGGTGAGGGTGGGGTCGGGGGCCTGGGTATCCGTGGGAGAGATGTGTTTTAGTCCAAATCTGCATCTCAGAGAATAACCTAACAATAGTATGCAAATTAATTAAGCTGCTGAAACAAATCATTCATCTTATCTGGGCTTCAAGTCGTAACAGGTTGTGGGATGATGGGACAACAGCAGGACACAAGATGCCTTCCACATCCCTTCCTAGTACATTTTGCAGCAACATACAGGGATCACTGGATAGAAGACTCTCACCTGCCAGATAGAGGGAATGGGAGTTCTTGTTCTCAGGTACTTTGTCTGACCTCTCACATGGCTGCATGCCCAGAAACGTGACGATGTTGTTGACAGCTTCTGTGTTGAGAAGATTTATGCGACAGCATTAGAAGAGTTCAGTGCAGGGACCTGCCTCTGCTCCAGTCTGTGCTGAGAGGCTGCTGGATAGAAACTGGCTGATTGAGTTAGATGATGGCGATGAGGTGCTGGTTGATTACGTGAAATGGTTTATGAAGTATTTAAAGAAAAAGGAGTCCCCCTGGAGCACCAGATGCAGGTTATGTCTGGCACAGGCAATACGCCGGTGGCAAAGCTCCTCTTACCTTCGAGGGTTTTGGTGGAGCTGAGGGCAAAGGTCTCCTCTTTCTCAAAGGCGTCTCCCACCTCCTCCCAGGCAGCTGCAAAGTTAGGCTTCAGCACCTTCTGAATGTGGTCAGACATCATCACTTCCAGGTCTTCTAGCTGGTGGGGAACAAGCAGGTGTCAGTCATAGTATAGAACAAAGGTGGAGGGTTTTTATTATTGTCTGTTCCATCCTTTGCCAGGAGACTAGGAAGAACTTACTACCAAAACAGTTTCAGCTCTGTAGTCTGGAAAACCCTAATGCTGAAGGCTTAGTGAAGGGAAGTGAGGACATCGGTATCTGGCAAGAGCCATATTCAGATCACCACCTGAAGCCTTGAGCTACAAAGTCATCATATCACCACATCTACCACATAGTACCTTTTGAACTCGACACTCACTCACAGGTTGATTATTTTTCTTTTTTTTTTTTTAAGTTTTCCCTCCAGTATGTGAAGGCTTTTCAGTTCATGGTCTGGCTCTGTTACAGCAAACTAAACGTTGCTGAACCAGAAACACACTTTGAATAAAACGAATCTCAGTGAACATCATGTAGTTATTTTTCTCTCTTCATTATCCCTATTATAAAGAAAGAAAAAGGGCAAGTTTGTTTGTTTTTCGTGAAGTGACAAGGTCCCATGACAGAGGAGGATGGTGGTCTGTCTGAGAAGAATGCCGACCCACAAGTTCATGTCTGATAGTCTCAGAGAAATGTTCCCTCAAGACCGAAGTCCCTCAGTGGTCAGGGGTCACAGTACGGCTCCAGTCAGGGACCACTCACCACATACTCGTCGTCATAGCCATCTTCATCTGGCACTCCAGTGTTAGGGTCGCAGTCGCGGACTGTAAACTTCATGGTGCAGCTAAAAGTGCATGCAACTGGCAGAGAGAGAGACAGGAGGCCTGCGTCACTGGGTAGCATGAGCACGAAGTTTCCATCAGCGACAGGCAGCACCATCTGCACTTGGCCTTGTGCTCGACATTACCAAGTTCAACATATGCAGGCCCTGTTTTCTAGAGTAGTGGTTCTCAAGCAGCTGCAGGCTGGTCAAGAGGCAATTTCACAAAGTGGGACTGTCAGGTCCGTTCTCCACTGTGGGTTGAAATAGCACCAAAAAAAAAAAAAAAAAAAAAAAAGCATGGGCCAAACTCATAAAAAAAACAACAGCAGGGGAGATACTTTGGTTTTTTTGCCACGCCTATCAAAAGGACTGGCAGGTTGAAAAATTCAAGAACCACTGCTCTAGGAGCTGACAAACAAGCAAAAAATCCTGATGGTGAAAAGCACACTGATCATCAAATTAACACTGACCAAGTCCATCAGAGTCAGTATCAGTCCTATCTTTTGATGTGGACTGACAATGGGTCCACAGATCACCTAAATGAACTCGCTTTATGTCAAATTTCAACCTACAGTGAGTAGGTTAATGAGGTTCTAATATAAATAAACTTAGTGTCTTAAAATGGAAAAGCAAGTGGGCAGTTGTGTGTTTTGAGATGACTGGTAGAATATGAAATGGAGATGGGGTCACATTCTAGAAAGTGAAGACTTCATGAAGAAGACAGTTCCGAACTGTCTGAGGAAGGAAGGATTTAGCAAGCATGGATGAAGAAGACACACTTAGAGTCTAATCTGTGATGAAGGAAAAGGCTTAATGCCTGCTGCTGTTGAGTTCATCCAACTCACAGCGGCCCTATAGGAACTGCCAGAGTGGAACCGCCCCATGGGGTTTCCAAGGCTGTAAATCTTTATGGAAGCAGACTGCTACGTCTTTCTCCTGTGGAGCAGCTGGGGGGGGTTCAAACTGCTGACCTTTCAGTTAGCAGCTGAGCTCTTTAACCACTGCACCACTAGAGCTCCTAGAAAAGGCTTATGGGTACAATGATTACTAGAAATTAGGGATTTAGAAAATATTTGGGGGAAAGCAAGGAGAGAAAGAACAGACTTGGATGTAAAGACCATGAATAATAAGGTTGGGTAGTGAGATGTTCATCTGTTCAATCTTGACTTTAAACTCCATCCATCCATCCATCCATCCATCCATCCGTGAATGTGAACACATGTTGACATTACATGTAAAGCTGTAAGCTGATGTGCCAGATGCTTAGATAAAAAGATGACTGTGCCATGACCTCTTTCTCCAAGAGGTGATTGTCTGGGAGTTAATAAGTGTGCATGGGTGACATCTAGGATGGTACAACTCAGTGCCACAGGTTCATTGAAGTGTTAACAGAGTACTGTGTGAAGGTGTAGGGTTACCTGAGATCAGTCTGGGAAAGTCATAAAAAATCCGAAAGCATAAAATAGCTTGATTGGCTCCCAAAAGATGAGAAAGAGCCTTCAAGCAGAGGAAGGTACCCAGACAGGTAGAGAGCCATGGGATAGGCTGGAAACAGAGGTGTGGTAATACAAGTGCTGAGAAGAGAATCTGGTTAGGAAATTTGCTTAGAAAATGTGTTTAGACTCCTTCAGGAGTCTAGAGAATTTCCAACAGGCTCTGGTGAGCTGAGGCAGTTGAGACTATGAAACAGTTAGAGAGAAACTAAGTAAGATGGTGCCTATTTCAAGTCCTGGTAGGAATCCTATGGAGAACAGGTCTGAATACATAGAGCAAATGGATTCAGTAGAGTATGTTAGAAAGAGGTGGTAACAGTAGGTTGACCAGTGTGACTACCTTATAGGAAAGAGTGTGCCTATCAAGATGACAGAATCTATTCCAGTGCTATAAAGAGGATTATGGTTTTCTACAGAGTGGAGTGGAGTGAAGAAGGAAGTTAACAGAGACCCAGGATAGGTCAGCCAAGGTATCAAAAAAGAAGGAAGGCAGAGAGATGGGATTATGGTAGGAACAAAGGTCATGATCAAATAAGAACGAAGAGGCAGGAGAGACATTCACTAATAGAAAATTATATGAATCCCAGATGGGTTCAGATTAAGCAGGGAGGCTACAGGTAAATGAGGAAGAGGAATAAGGGGAGAAAAGTCAGGAACAATGGAGGATCATACGCTGGGCAAATTGGTTGGATTTTATGTAGAAGTAAAGGCAGAAGACGCTTGTGTAAGTGATAGAAAAGGATTAAAGAAGCAATTAGGAATGGTATTAGAGAGCAAATGTTCCTGAAACTTTGTGGGAAATTTTTAATTAAATGGTTTGTTGCTATGATGAGAGGTTACAGTAATCCAAGATGAACTCCAATAAAAACCATGGGTAGTAATCTAACAATGGTGTTGCCTAGAGCAAATTATGGGCCCTAGCTGATGAGGGGGGATAAGAAGGGCACTTTCCTTGGCAAGAGAACGATAGTGAATCTGGTGACATAAAGTTGAGAGCGTCATAAACAAAGCAAAACAAATAACCAAAGGGCCTAGGGAAGCTTACCCTGAAGATGTACATTCTCAGAGATGAGGCTTGTCTCGTGAGGACTGACTGAAAATGGGAGAACTACTGAGAAGGCTTTTGTGGAAAGAACAGAGAATTAGAAGATGGAGGCTGGAAGCTCAATAGAGAGGGGTGGGTGCATTGTGCTGCAAAGCTGGACGTGAAGTGTGGCCAAGCGGGGAACTGGGTAGGAAGCTGCCAGGTCTCAACCACTGGAGGGCAGACTGTGACTAAATAAGAAATGGGGTTGTGGAGCGATTCCAGAAAGCTCTCTGGGAGTGATAACTGAGGAAAGGGGTGAAAGGTCAAACAGGGTAAAAGAGACGGAGCAGGACCCCAGCAGGTCAGGACTGAACTGAGGGAAGTGCATGCCGAGTAGAGGGGAGGACGTCAGGGAAGATGGGAGCGGGCCGAGCAGTGAGTGCCAAACACTAGTGAATGCCTACCCAGGAAAGAGTGTCCTTAATCCATGAGACCAACACACAAATGGCAGAAGAGAGGTGGAAGGTAAGGCTTTTCTGTCGGGTAAATACAGGTGGGAAAGGAGGAAAGGTATGGGAAAGCACTAGTAAAGCTGGCCCTTGATGAAAGGGGTCACTAAGGAATGGCAGACACCAAGTCATGCATGATGGGATAAGGAAGAAAAGAGAAACTGGATGTTAGGGAAAGAGAACAGTATGGTGGAGTGCCCACAAGCAGAGGCTGGGGAGTAAACTCTGTGCAGAGAGCGCTGTGAGAGCGCCACACAGGCCTGGCTGGGCCCAGGTGGGACATAAAGGCCATTCCGTAGCCAGGACCTGCCGAGGAGGCAGCAGCAGACTGGCTCTTGAAGCCCCGACGGGACTTGTTTGTTAATGAAGGGACTTGGTTGACAGGAAAGGTTATAAGGAGGCTGAGTAAGATGAATGCTGATAAATGTTGCTGCAAGTTTACAGATACTAGGCTTGACTTCTTTGAGGATGTTGCTAGGTTGTCCAGAGAATGGGCTATTGTTCCTACACAGGAAACGGAAGTTACTGATGAGAACAGATACTAAGTAAAAGGATGATGGATAGCTGAGGTACTGCATTGTATAGAGTCTATTAAAGTTGTTCTTGGAAGTTACCCTGCCAGGTAAGGAGTGGCCAAGTGACAGACATATCCTAGGGAGACTTGTATGACAAGCCCACAGAGGGGAAAGGGGAGAAGATGGAGCCTGGAAGCTGAAAAAGGAGTGAGGATGCAGGATGTAGGCTGGGGTGCAGATACAAGGTATGGCTAGGGAAGGGTATTGAAGGGGGCCAGAATGAGGGGCTGGAAGACGGGAGAGTTATGTATTCAGTAGCGATGAGTTAAGCTAGACTGCAACCAAAGAACAGGAGAGAATGTGAAGAGAAAGTAGCTAAACAGTAATAATTGGTGTCATGAAGGAATGCTATCTGAGAATCTCTGAGTGACATTTGAAGCAATGAGTGTGCCCAACAGAGTGAAAGGTTAAAGGTTCTAAATGGGAAGGAGCTGAGTTATGGGCCAGTGGCAGGAATGCTGTGGAAGTCTGGACTGAACAAGAGTGCAGATGTATTTGGAACAGCGTGTAGGAAACAGGAAGATGGAAGAAAAGACTACTGAATCCACGAGAATGGTAAACAGCTGAAAAAAGAGACTGTGTAGGTCAAGTTGGAGGATTCCTGGCAGTGCAATGGTTAAGTGCTCAGCTGCTTACCAAAAGGTTGGTGGTTCGAACCCACCAGCAGTTCCACAGGAGAAAAAACTTGAGGATCTGCTCCCATAAAGATTATAGCCTAGGAAACCCTACGGGGCAGCTATGCTTTGTCATACAGGATTGCTATAGGATTGCTATGAGGTGGAACTGGCTCCATGGCACACAACAATAGGTAAAGGAGGGGTTTCTCTTGGCTTAACTGAGCAAAAGAGTGGAAGAGCCTGCTGAAGGGGCAGGGTCATTTGAAGACTGGCAGGTATTGGTAGGAGGGATGTGGCACTGTACTTGTATCAAAGGTCATGGCTGACTGAGAAAGGAGAGAGAGAGAGACCTGAGTAAAGGAGGCACCATATGAAGAGTAGCTCAAAGTAGATGGAGTGGCACTGGAGCAGATAACGCGAGGGACAGAGAGCCAGAATGGGAATCCTGGAAGAGATCAGAATCAATCTGGTCAAATGTTGGGTCTTACTGCCAGACTTCAAAAACCAGTATACATAACGAGACAAGAGCAAGGACCTGCAAGGTAACAGGAACTTTTGGTGGGAAGGTTTCATCAGAAGGATTAGAAGGAGAGGGGTTAAGATGAGCCCTGATATAAAGCCAAGGGTAGCAACCTTAAAGATATGAGGACAGCTCTTTGAGTAATTTGTCTGTAGAGTGGATGACTAATATTGGGAGAGGAGTGGCTGGAGATCATGGTGGGAACCCAACTTGTGTGAAACCTCGTTTGTGATTTCCATGTACAGGTGCAGGTGAAGGTACTGTATATACTTAAGAGGGCAAATTACCAAAGGGAATATAAGTGAGTATCTTTCCAGTGACACACTAAAGTTACTCTTAGAAGGTACTCTGTCATGTGAAGATTCCCTGAAAGTT